ATATACAATTAATACTACTCTATAATTTATTACCATAAAACAGTCAATTGTTCTCTGTTTTCTTCTGAACTTCATTCTTTAGGGATTTATAATTTTAAATAAACCAAATCATGTGAATGCATGATGATTCAAAAACTAAAATAAAAAAGAACATGTTCGCATCAAAAAAGCAAAACAAAAAACTGGCTTCACTGCAGAAATCATGGCTCCACAGTGTTCTTTGTTTATCATCAGCATAACATGTCTCACTCTCTCCCTCTTTTGGAGAGTAACAAAATTTTGATGTTGGAAAATATTTAATTAATTTACCTAGTTAATGTTACAATCGAATTCCATCAAAACCGATTATAAAAATATCTTTAAATCATAACTTTTTTTTGGAAAATGTATAGTGTAATATAGGATGATGATGTTATGCTGGTGGAGCAGTGGATGTAATGATTATTTTATAGTATTACACTTTTGCAGCTTTGTGCTTAATTTTTTATTATATTAACCAAAAGGCAAAACAGTTTTAAATTAATATTTTAATTTGTGTGTGTTTTTAATGTGTTAAGGGTTGTTCATGGCTTTAAACCCAAGAATTATAGCTTGTGGGAACAGAAGAGCAGCTTTTGCGGCGGGTGTGAGATTTCTCGTCGGACCTGCAATCATGGCCGTCGCGTCTCTCGCCGTCGGCCTCCGTGGCGTCCTCCTCCACGTCGCCATCATCCAGGTATTTCTTAAATATATTTCTGTATACACGATTCAATAAATATAGAAATAAACAAACATGCTTTCTGAATATTTTTTTTTTCTCATAGCTTATGTTGTGTTGTGCTTTATTTAATTTTTGAAGTGATTATGTTATTTGATTTGATAATATTATGTTATTTCATAATGAATTACAGGCAGCTTTGCCACAAGGAATTGTACCGTTTGTGTTCGCCAAGGAGTATAATGTGCATCCTGAAATTCTTAGCACTGCGTAAGTTTATATTCCTATTTTTTTTAGTAATTTTGTTATAACGATAATTTTATGCTTGCAGTTTGATTAATTAGGG